CAAGCCGATCGTCAATATGACAAACTTGCTTCGCCTGGGATGACCTTTCAAACGACGATCTAGCTGTTTTCCAAAGCTCAACTGCCTTAGGAAGATCACCATGCAGTTCTGAGATATCCCCCAGCCGAAGTATACATTCTGCTTTGCTGCGGTGTACATCCATCAGGGTAAATCCCTCCAGAGCAGCAGTGAACAGATTGGTTGCAGTCTGCTGGTCCCCGCTTGCCAGGTACACATCTCCTAGGAATTGAAGAGCTTTGTGTGTTTCAAGCTTCTGCTGGAACTTCAGGCTGTGGACCAAGAATATCACTGTCCAATTATATGACCCATGATCTGCAGCAGGCCAGAGGCAAGGATTCCCAAGTTTCTCCAAACAGTAGCTGACCACCTCATTGTATTTTCCCCAGGCAGACTTGAGGCAAGTTTGGAATAAATCTGCTGCCTTCACCAAATGGCCCTCATTCACATCAAGAGCTGCTGTGACCATATCACAGAAAACGATTCCGGCTGAATGCCCCACACTGTCGAAGGGCTGCTTGGCTGTATTGAGATTCATGTGCACTCCATCCCTTGATCCACAGATTTCCACATCAATCTGTGCCATTGAGTGTAAAGCAAAGGCATGATCATATGGGTTTTTCTCGATGGAGTGTTTGTTCATCATTTGGATCTGGATCTTGCGGGCCTCGACATATTCAGATTTTATCCGGTGGATTTCTGCTTGATCAGCTATGATGCTATTGTCTAGTTGGCCACCAGACATGCCACAAAGAGCAAGAAGATCCCTAGCCGTTGCGCGCATAGAGATGCAATGATTGTAGTTCCCAAGGGAATAACAGCACAAAGCTTCAATTTCGAGTGCATAGGCTTCCTGGAAGAAGTTGCCTGAAATTCTGGCTAGCCTCTGATTCATTTGCATGCAATCGGCCTACCGTATAATCACCGCATGACCACTCTATCGCTGCCAATGTAGTCAACATATCAGACTGCCTTCTGGTGTTCCCTGTTGAAATTGACAATGACAGCCCAGTTTGAGCGAGGTGGATAGCTCGAGGAGTATCATTGTGGCATGACTTAGAGTATCCTGCCAAGATATCATAAAATCTGCCTGGAGGATATGCGCATTGCTTAGTGATTAGCTTAATGTTATAATGCATAACTAACATTTAATATCTGGATCATCAAAGTGTGACAAAAACTCGAGGCCCTGGGCAAACAGGCCTTCCGGATTTTGAACAAGGTGGTATCCACGTCCAGCCAAGAGTGTCATGATAAAATAGACCTCCAGTCTAGGGTCTTTGGGGCAAGGCAGAAAATTCGGAATCTGGTGTATTAATTCAATGTGTCCGTGCCCAGTCTTTCGTGTGAAGCGGTCAAAATGGCATATGCACTGGATAGTATGGCCGAGGTCAGGATTATCTTGTTTCAAGCCCTGCCCCAGGATACACTGGATGTTTGCAAGGTTGGCGGAAATTTGAGCGACAATCTCTGGACTTGAAATAGTCCCATAGTATGTGTCATAAACCTCGAGGAGGTTGTTAAAATGTTTGACAAGTGGCTGAACAAGTTGAGACATGGGGGGATGCCTTTGGTACATATATTCCCGGATGGGGACTAACGCCTTGAGCCGCTTCTGATCATCTGTATAAGCGGGAGAGGTGCGAATTAAGGTCGCTTTGCAGGCCAGGATACTGTCAAACGGGAGTTTGCTTTGCAAGAGATCAATATTTAGGAGACCATCTGGCAAAATTGAGAGCAGGCTTAATAATTGACATGAGTGAGGCAGGGATGCTAGCCGAGGACTTTCGAGAGACAGCGAGATTGATAAATTTAGATTTGAGCCTTTGTCGAGGCCATCTGAGAGCAGTGAGGTTCTCTCAGTCTTCCAGCGATTCAACACACTATGAAGGACTTCATAGTCCACCAAATGGGCAAGAAGATCGATTGCCAGGGGCATGTTATCGGCCAGCGAGAGGATTTTATCCATGTCTTCGACAGTATAACCACCGTCCACAATAGCACTAAAGGTTTTGCGAGATTCTTCCTGTGTCAATGGTTTCATGGGGGCTAGAAAAGGGCGAGTCCACTGGACATTGGCTGGCCGTTCAGCCCCCCGCATCGTTATCTGAAAGGCTTTGAGTATAAAGTGGAAGTAATTGCGCTCTCTACTTATTACCATCAATGCCAAATGATCGATATCCGCAAGCAAGGATAATAGCTTTTCAGTATCTCCACGGCCTTCTCTGGGTTCCCAAATGGTCTCCAAATTATCCAAGATCAATAGGGAAGGAGGGCTGGTCATGAAACGATGGATAACTGGTTTACACCGGGGGAAAGTTTCTGCCAATGCTTGTGCAATAAGCCGTCCAGTCCGGTCACCGGTACCGCGGTGCGAAACAGGAGCCGCAGGGTCGGTTCCATCCCTATTTAAGCACCCACTTATGAACTGCCGTAGGCATACAGATGAGCCGTCGTGGACCAGGAGGTCGCCCTCATTTAATGAACCACCAGAATGAGGAGAAGGTGCACAAGCGAGGCGGGGGTTCGACTCCTCCTGATGACATGTCTTAGCTTCTGGTTCTTTTTACCTGCTGTTTCTACTTAATTTGCTTACACACCCACTTGTCAACTGCGTTCGGTATTCAGATGAGCTGCCGTAGATCACGGTGATCGCCCTTGCTCAATATGTTAGGCGCGTAATACTGATTGCAGGAGGGAGCCCGAGGTTCGATTCCTCCCAGCGGCATGTGATTGAGAACGTGAGGTTCTTTTTTCCTTCCCGTTTCCCAAAAACAGGTTGTATTCGTGTTCGCGCTGAAGAGTGCAGACATGCCTCTCTCGAGCTCCCGCTGCCCGACGAGATAGGTTATAAGGACCCTCTCACGCACGAATATGTACGGAACCTCTCACGAATACGGAAGGAACCCTCACGAATAAGGAAGGACCCCTCAGCAATACGGCAGGAATCCCTCACGCGCCACCCATCATGAGCCGCCCCGCCTCCACGTGCTGTGATGCGGACTGCGGTGCTTTAAACTGCCAGATGGTGGGGAGATCTGGGCTATGTTTAAATGCTCTTCCACTAGGGGGAATTTGTTCTGTCACAGTAGACAAGTACATAGGGAGGTTTAAATAATATTGGTGGGGATAACCATCCAAGGATTTGAACAGTTCATTCAAAATCCTACTAGCTAGGGTGGACCGAGCGAACTCCGATGCCTAGTTAGCCTTCTCGGGTTAACGGAGATTGAATCTGTTCTACACTTCCTCGGAGGGGGAGCTTCGGAAGGCGATGCGGGGTCCAATTCGTCAAGTCTGAGGTGAAATATGGATTTAGGGGCTTCCTGGACCACAAACCACAGTCGTCCGAAGTATCTTTGAGTCGTAGATCGTAAGACCGGGGGAATTATGTGTTCACGATAACGTTCCTGCAATTTCTCCTCCTTTTACCCCTCTTTGTGCCTCTACGGAGTTTCCTCTCTCTACTTCTCACCCGTTCGCTTGCTGAAGGTGACTTCCTGCAGGCTCTGCACCGCCAACTTCCTTAGCTAGCAGCTACACACAAACTCCGAAGACCTCGTTGTGCTGTTTGAGAGATTTCACTGCCCTACTGACGTAGGGGAGGAATAGATGGTTCAATATTCAGCGCTGAACTTATGCCAAAATGTAAACTCCGTTCGCTGTCTGATGGCGGCGAGGGAGTACCGAGGTCGATTTACTGTGTAACTCGACTCTGGGTGACCTCTAGGTGATGTTCAGGGGGGGTTTTAGCTACTCCTAAGCTGGCTAAGGCTTAGAAGGTGAGGATGTGGGCTGAAACTGAGATGCATTTTGCTAAAACAAGCTGTAGTATTTATATCCCAGCCCAAGGCTGTGCCAGAGTTGTTCCTTTGTGTCCCATACCTGCTCGCTCGCACGCTCCTCCGCCCGGAGCTCGCTTGTGACTCATTCCCGAACTCCGTGAACCCATACCTGCACCATCTTTAGTCAGGCACCGATTCCGCAACCCGGACTTGTTGGCCCTAGCCTCGGATACTCCATGTCCGGTCCTAACTCTCCTCCTATCTGGCTTCCGCCTGCGACGGCTCAATAGTGTAGTGGAAAAACGCACTCCATATCCTTTCACCCCAGTGTTTGACTTACGGAGAGTCCGGAGTTTGATCCTCCGTCGAGCCTTTTCCCTATGCTACCCACCTTTTTGATTACCCGGAGTTCTCGTTCCATCCTTTCGGGCCGTTTGGTATTCACGACTCGATGGCGTAACTGTAACACATCCTGCCATGGTTCTTGCACAAGCGCGTCTTTGCAGGAAGTCCAGAGTTCAATCCTCCGTTGAGCCATCCCTCTTTTCCATTTCTTTTTTCGTGCGCCTCTTACCGGACCTCCATATCGGTTGCACACATGGTCCGGTGGCGTAGTGGTAACACACTCTGTTCGCATAGCTGGTGGGAAACTGAATTAATGGAGGGCCCAGAGTTCGAATCTCCAATGGGCATTTCGTTCTTTTTTTCCATTGAGGAAGATAGGGCATGTTTTTGAACGGTTCAGTGGTGTAATGGTATTGCACTCCGCATTCCTATGTAGTTCACGGTATGCTTTACGGAGAGTTCGGAGTTCGATTCTCCGCTGAGCCATTATGAAGAAAACCCTTCTTTTTCATGGCGATAGTTTTGGCTGGTCGTTCAAATCCTACAGCTTGGTGGCGTAATGGTAATGCACTCCGTATAATGTGCATTTTTATATCGATTGACAGAAAGTCCGGAGTTCAATTCTCCGTCAAGCCATTTCGACAGAAACCCTTCTTTTTACATTGATCATCTTGGCTGGTCGTTCGACTTGTACAGCTTGTTGGCGTAGTGGTAACGCACTCCGTAGCGATATGCAGTGTTTGCATATGGTTTAACGGAAGGTCTGAAGTTCGATTCTTCATCAAGCCTTGACAATAACCATTCTTTTTCCACAGCAATGGTCTTATTGGCATTTTTGGTAGTCCGGTTCATGGCTTGGTGACATAGTGGTAACGCGCTCTGTGTACCTATGTAAGATTCGCATATCGTTTAACGGAAAGTCCGGAGTTCGACTCTCCGTCAAGCCATCGTTGGGTCGGGATATCATTTTTAACTCGTGATTTGGTCCATGGTGGTCATCGAGTTCGACTTCTTGAATGGCTTGGTAGTGTAGTGGTAACGCGCTCCATGGATCTGCAGCATTTGTATATAGGTTAACGGAAAGTTCGGAGTTCGATTCTCTGTCAAGCCATGAGGGTCCGGATAACATTTTTAACTCGGAGTTGGTCGTTGGGTTCGACTTCTTGAATGGCTTGGTACCGTAGTGATAACGCGGTCCGTGTCACTGCTGCATTTATATATTGGTTGATGGAAAGTCCAGAGTTCGATTCTCCGTCAAGCCATTTGTGCTAAAGATATTTCTTTTGTCCATGACTCAGTGGCGTAGTGGCAACACATTCCGAATTCTTTACATAGGTGTTCTGTTTTCGGGAGGTACGGAGTTCGATTCTCCGTCGAGTCATGGGTTGGGTTGGGATATCATTTTTTTAATCGTTCTCGGAGTTCGGTGTTTCGAGGTCACGTCGGGAGCTATCACAATGTGATGGCTCACAGCGCACGGTGTCACACTGCATCTTCCTGCTCAGGACCTTCGTCTCGCCACGCAGTGTGTGCAGGAGCGGCACCTCGGACTGTGCATCAGGGTGAACTGGTACATTGGCAGCACGTTGGGGCTCGCGCTCATGGACTTGGTGAACACTGAGGGCAGGGCGAATGGTGGGCTCGACACCTTGGAGCCCAAGATTTTACGGATGCGGGCGAGGAGGGCGGGGTGGTCATGGTGCTCGCGGTGGAGGGCGAGCTAGTGAAAGTAGAGTTGGAGGAGCTCGATGCTGAGGAGGAGGCAGCATGTGTGGAGGGAGAGGTAGTTACAGTTGGATGGGCGGGCACGAGCGCTGAACTGAAGAGCGCAACACTCAGGAGGGGGAGTACCCCAGGGTCGATGAGCTGCATACGGTGGAGGTCGCACTGGTAGAGGCATCCAACAACAGGAGTTTCAGGGCTTCCGAGGACCTCAACAAATTCTTTATTAGCCCATTTTAAGTTAAGTTCTGGGGGTTCCCATCCTTTTGTGAACTTAAGTTTGTACCTTTCACCGTGGTACACACCCCAGGACACCGACACCAACTGACACCCACATTCGTCACCGTGTGCTCCACAAAGAGCCCACACCCATTCAAACCAACAAGATACGCACCGACTGAGCTTCTGCTCTAAATTGTGTCCACCTAGTAAATTCCCCTAGAGGCCGAATGAAGCTGCCCGCCTGAATCCCATCCCATTTCACACAGTAGCACAGCGGTCCTTATCACATCATGAGCTTACCTGGAGGCATCCCACCTATAACCGCAGCAGCACAGTGCATTGCGATGATGGGATGCTCTGTGTCCCTGTGAGACTCCCCAGCCGCCAAGCTGAATGGAGGACTGGAGAAAATTGCATGAACCATGGCAATAGCAGAGATGTGATGGATACCCAAGCCTCTGCTGATAGGATGGACAAAAGTCAAGGTTCAATATCATTGAGCAACAGTTGATACCACTCTCCCACTCTTTTTCTAACACAAAAGCTTGCCCGAGGCACACCTTGCAGGAAATATGTTCCAGGCATGTACTATGAAGGTGAACTACTCTTGGGTTGTATCCAGTTCGGTCATCTACCATGAATCAACACAAATCAAAGTGCCCCAATAACTTATGTTTTCCACCCACCAAATGTAAGCTCCAGAATGCAGAATGGAAAATTGAAAATTGGCTAAACAGAAGTGAGATCAAGCCTATGTACATACTACATATCCTCTCGATACCACCCAGATTAGACCCCAACATGTATAAATGGCACCCAGCGTGAAAATGATTTCGCTCCTCCAGCATGGTCCGAGTCCCGGAGCTTCCGCACAGCAAGATGAAGTGCTTCTGCGGCCCTTGTGGAGTCTGGTGGTGATGTTTTGAAAAGATGGGCATAAACATCACCCGCAACCTGCGGCCCATCAGTGTCCATTATGGACCACATTGTCCCAATGACACCACGATATCCTGCTAACAACATGCCTGCAGTGAGATGAACTGATTCATCTTCAAGATGTTTGGATCCAGTGGCAGTTTGGCATGCAGATAAGAATGCTAGATCAGCATGTGGGAGATGTAGCTGGATGATGTTTGCAAGTGTCAACCTTGAACTTCCAGCAAGAAGGAGGGCACTGTTTGTTGGAGTGGACATATCCTGTAGTCCATGACATGCAAAGTGTGCCCATTGAGATTCCCTCATGGCTTTCTGAACACTTTCCACAGTTGCCATGTCCTGCTCCAACCGCAGAACAGGGATTACTCTTTGGGCAAGGTGTTCAATAGAGGCAATTTCCTTCATGGTTCCAGGAATTTGGTTCTGTCCAAATGCAGATGGTTGGGCAACTGCAAGAAGCTGGAGTCCATCCTGTGACTCTTGTTTGGCACGTAAGCTTTCAATTAAAGCAGACAATGATGGTGTGTAGGATGAAATGAGAAAGTCGGACAACTTTGAGTCAGAGGCCACACCTTGACCATAGAGGCCTGCTGCATGGATAGGCAGAAAAGCAAGTGGCCCAGTGGGACACCACCATATACGTCCTTGATCCTGGTATGAGGGATTCTATATTAAAGATAAGAACCAAAATTACATCGCCTCATTATCATAGCTTACCATCAGAGCAAGTCCATCCAGGATGGGCTTAACAATGTTGATCCAGAGCACAGAAAGAATCTGTGAAAACTGCTCATCTGGAGGCAAATCCCCCTCTCGGCCACCATCCAACCTCTCACTGCGGGCTCCACCTCTCACAATATATCCCAGGGCTTTGGTCAAATGCTGTGCCTGAGCAAGTGTGAAATCTGGGAGAGGGACATGCATAACCTCATCTGCAAACCCAGGAATGAGGATTAGGGCATCACAGCGATATGAGCCAGTGTTCAGCAGGACAACAGGGCCAGTTTTCGCTGCATGTGAAAGCTCAGAAATTAGCTTGGGTAATAAGAACCTCTGAAACCCAGCCAACCCTCTGATCTGCTGGAGAAGTTTATCTCTTTGAGCAGCAAGATCATGATATTGCCGTGCTGTAGCCTGAAGTGATTGTGGGGGTCTGAAGCTGGCTGCCTCTATATCACTCCGTGTGCCAGATGTTTCCAACAGGTTTGAAACTGACACAAGTTCAGTGACAAGCTTAGGATGGAGCATCTGCAGTTCATCTACTGGAGTACGCAGATTGAGAACCTGACCCCAGATAACTGAACGACCTTGTTCCAGCCACTCCACGGCTTTGCTGTATTCATGGGCATCAATTGCTGCTGATGCAGCATCCCTCACAAGGTGGCCCACATTCAAAAGCTGGTGATGTCTATCATTTATAGAAAGACCAAGCCAAGCCACATGGGGCACGAGGTCAATGGCTGTGGCATACGCATGGAGAACAGATGGATGCTGGTGAGTGTGGGCATAATGTGCCCACATTGTCGAGGCCTTAAATCTTGTCTGAGCTGAACCAGTTGGGGAGGAGGCAGCATGACTGTATTGAATCAGCATATGCTCAAAATCACGGGGGTCCTTAAGTCTGTTGAAGCGGGCATGCAGACAATTTCCAAGATTGCTCAACAGTGAACACTTGTCTGGGTGGCCCTCTGGAGTGAGGCTGACAGCAGCCTCAAACTTGGACATTGACTCATTGAGATCAGTGAGGTCATCAAGCTGCTCGAAGCGAATCTGCAGGGAATTGCCAAGATTGTTCAACCATGAAGGCTTGTTTCGGTGGCCCTCTGGAGTGAGGCTGACAGCAGCCTCCAACTTGGACACTGACTCATTGAGATCAGTGAAGTCACCAAGCTGCTCAAAGCGAGTCTGCAGGGAACTGCCAAGATTGCTCAACAATGAAGGCTTGGCTGGGTGGCCCTCTGGAGTGAGGCTGACAGCAGCCTCAAACTTGGACACTGACTCATTGAGATCAGCGAGGTCACCAAGCCTCTCAAAGCGAGTCTTCAGGGAATTGCCAAGATTGCTCAACCATGAAGGCTTGTCTGGGTGGCCCTCTGGAGTGAGGCTGATAGCTGCCTCAAACTTGGACACTGACTCATTGAGATCGGTGAGGTCACCAAGCTGCTTGAAGTGAGTCCACAGGGCATTGCCAAGATTGTTTAACCATGAAGGCTTGTCTGGGTGGCCCTCTGGAGTGAGGCTGACAGCAGCCTCCAACTTGGACACTGACTCATTGAGATCAGCGACGTCACCAAGCCGCTCAAAGCGAGTCAGCAGGGAATTGCCAAGATTGCTTAACAGTGAGGGCTTGGCTGGGTGGCCCTCTGGAGTGAGGCTGACAGCAGCCTCAAACTTGGACACTGACTCATTGAGATCAGTGAGGTCACCAAGCCGCTCAAAGCGGGTCCGCAGGGAATTGCCAAGATTGCTCAACCTTGAAGGCTTGTCTGGGCAGCCTTCTGGAGTGAGGCTGACAGCAGCCTCCAACTTAGACACTGACCCATTGAGATCGATGAGATCACCAAGCTGCTCAAAGCGAGTCTGCAGGGAAACACCAAGATTGCTCAACTGTGAAGCGTTGTCTGGGTGGCCTTCTGGAGTGAGGTTGACAGCAGCCTTGAACTTGGATGCTGACTCATTGAGATCAGTGAGGTCACCAAGCCGCTCAAAGCGAGTCTGCAGGGAACTGCCAAGATTGTTCAACAGTGAAGGCTTGGATGGGTGGCCTTCAGGAGTGAGGCTGACAGCAGCCTCCAACTTAGAAACTGACTCATTGAGATCAGTCAGGTCACCAAGCCGCTTGAAGCGAGTCAGCAAGGATTTTCCAAGATCGTTCAACCGTGAAGGCTTGTCTGGGTGGCCCTCTGGAGTGAGGCTGACAGCAGCCTCCAACTTGGACACTGACCCATTGAGATTGGTGAGGTCACCAAGCCGCTCAAAGCGAGTCCTCAGGGAATTGCCAAGATTGCTCAACCATGAAGGCTTGGCTGGGTGGCCCTCTGGAGTGAGGCTGACAGCAGCCTCCAAC